TCTCTTCCTCTTCACAGCTGAGCAGACACAGATGGCCATTCCCTTAATCTCTCTTAAATTCCCTGGCCCTCATTACCTGCCAGGCACCCTCTGAATTGAGGACTTCGGGGTAGGCCAGTCTATAGTTTGTGGTGTGGTAATTGTATTGTAATTTGAGATCTCAATTCTGGGTGAATGTTCTAATTTCAGCAAAAACATTTTGAAGAAGAAAAACCATACATTAACATAGGCATTTATGTGTTCAAACCAGATTTGATTATTATTAATGACCAACATTTATAAGTTTGGGTATTGTAGAGGAGGGCTCCAACCATAGAGCTCTGACAACCCTGCGAAGGACATGAGGGTAATCACAACATCCCTAATATTAAGTAATTACTCACTATGTGCCAAGCACTGCACTGAATACTTTACATGTTATTTCATTTCATCTCCTACAACTGAGTGACTTATATCTCCACTTTCCAATAAATGACTTACAGAAGGCCATAGAACTATGAATAGATGGAACCTGAATTTGAAATTCAGAGTACAGTGTTCTGTTGTAATTTTCTGTACATGATTGTTGCTTTGTTGTTATCATTCAAATGGGAGAACATTACTTAAGAAGAGTGAAGGTCACACACCAAGGTTTTATGTATAGTTATTAATTGGTAGAGGCAGGATTGAAATGTGGATTTGGTGACACCAAAGCCTCGTCTTTTATATCAAATTGTGTTTCTTGATTTTGAGAACATAATCTAAAATTAGTTCTTATTAGAAAACATAGCATACATTTTAGTGGAGAACTTAACACGTTTCTCAAAAGAAAAAAAGAAAAGAAGGTGCTTTTGGGTCCAAATCAGTGTAGCCACTAAACCAGCCTGACAAGATTGGGAGGAGACCTACTTCAGACATTCCACTCCCAGGTATGGTGGTGGGTGGAGATGCATATTTAGAGTATAGCTTCTTAGGACACTTTGCTGAAGAGCATTATGTTTTGCACCTACCGAAATGTGGAACTGATTTGTAAAATTCTATTCCTTTTAGGATAAGTTGTGGTGAAATAAGTGGTAAATTATTGTTCAGTGGCCTCAGAAATAAGATACACAATTTCATTAATGACTTATATAAATCACTATTATTAATAATAATATCTAGTTGCTATGACTCTATCATGCATAGGGACTATATAAAGTATTTTCTGTAAATTATCATTAATTATTAAAAATCATCCAGCCTTATGGGGATTACATCCCCATTTCCAGAACAGCAAACTGAAGCTTAAAGAATTGAAAGGACCTAGCCAAGAACATATACCTACCAAGTCAGGGGAGAAGGATCAACACTCTGTCCCTCAAGGCCATAATTTTTCTATTAAACCATGTTGTCATTATACTATGTGCATGAAGTTACCAGCTTTATCCATTTAATGTTCATGCATTTCATTCTCTGTAAAACAGGTCAATAATAATGTCTACTCCTAGAGTCTGTGAGAATTGATGACATAAAGCACGTCAGCTTGGCATACAGCCAAGACTCAGTCATTGCTGATTTTTGTTGTGTATCTTGTTGGCCATGTGCTAGGGACGGGAAATGGGGGAAAAGAATCTTGCACCCAAAGGCTTATAATTAGTGTAGGGGAAGAGGAGTGGAATAGGTTTTACAAATAATTATAATACAGTTGGATAAATGCAGCAGTAGCTACACGTCCATAGGCAGGGTGTTAGCATAGGGTGGCAGGAGGCTCATTGGCCATTCACCCTCACACAACTCCAGTCATTAATGTAATGAGCCTGTCTGCAGAGTGAGGTTATAGGAAGGCCATTATGACAGATAACTTTAAAAAGATCGTTTTCGTTCTTTCCTAAAGGAGAGATTATTAAACAAAGGGAGCTGTTCTACAAATAAAGTGTAAGTGCTGTTTTAAGTTCAGCAAGAACTTAAATTGTGGTGTTGCATCTGGAAAGAGAAGCAGAACAGAGCCTCTACAGTCCACAAGGCAGGGAGGGATGGGGAAGGAAAATATCACTCAGAAAAGCGTTCATTACCCAAATCACGACCTTTCTTTGGCACCGTAGGAGCCTGTCTAATTCCCTGCCCAATACAGGCAGGCAGCCTGCCTCTGACATGATGCACTCGCTTCTCCAGAGCTGTGGGCAGCCTTCACTTTCAACAGACAGGCCCCCTGGGGAACACACCTAGGTAATTACAAGAGGCACACCTACTCATATGAACTATTCTAGTCCTTTGTTTATACATATAAACCTGTAATACAAGATCAGAAGAATTTTGAGGGAAGTTAATTATGTGATAGAGAAGCATCAAAATATTCAAGCAAAAGAGATAATGTAAGAAATAAAAATAAAACATGTATTGAAAACATAACTTATATTAGTATCTTCAGGGAGGTTCCAGAGGTTATTGCCTTATAATACAAAAATGGTTATCATATAGACGAACAGATAGAAGAAAAAGTTCTTCGAAATTAAAAATATAGTTAAAAAGAAGTAGGATAAAGAAAGAATAAATAGAGATGAAGACTAGTTAGTGATCTGGAATATAAAGTTAAGGAGTTCTTCAAGAACATAGAACAAAAAGACAGATAGATACATTAATGGACTCAGGGATAAACCCAAGGAATCCAACATTCATTGTACAGAGATTTCAAAGAAAAGAAAATAGAATGGTTTGGGCAGGGTCACAGTATACATAACAGTATAAAAATGAGTAGGGATTTCGTAAGAAAGTATACAGAAATAATGGAGGGGAAAGAAGTAACAAAAAACTAAAGAATACAATTTCCATAAGATGAAGGAAGATTTGACTCTTGAGGATAAAAATACATGATGAATATTTACTCAAGAAAAGAAAAAAAAAATCATATGCCTAAACCTATACTCATAAAATGTCCTAATTCCAAGGTAAAAAAAAGACCTTAAACATTTCCAGAGATGAAACAAGCAAGCACATTATCTACAAGGGGATGAGAAGAGTATTATTATGAAACTTTTGAAATATTGGCTACCCAATGACAATCGAATAGTGTTAAAATTCAAAAAATATTCTGAATCTAGAATTCTGTAAAAATGCCAACTATCATTCAAGTTAACTATCATTCAAGTTTGAAAGAAAATATAGACATTTTCAGGCCTGTTTAGGGACTTTATATTTATGTTACTTTTCTGAAAAAAATTCAAGATTTATTTTGGTAAAAAAAAAAATCCAAGAAAGGATGATTGGGTTACGAAAGCAATAGTAAGAAAATAAGTAAGCAAACACTAGAGTTAAGTGCAAATAACTGTTGAAATCATGTCCATTAAGTTTAATGCAATTGCTAAGAAAAGTTTCCTTAAGAATTAAAAAGATAATAAAAAATAACTAGTAATCATCTGGAACTAATACAATTGCAGATTACTTTAATTAAACATTGAAGGTTTGGTGTGGAAAAGGAATCTTTTTGGGAACAATAAATTAAGATACTAATTAATTTTCAACATGGATAGAAAGTTAAGTTTCATTATATGTGTATATTTAAACACGAGGGTATTCATCAGGAAAATAAATTTTGTATATATAACTGTCCAACAAATTAAAGGGGGAACATATACAAGGAATATTTGCTCAATCTACATAAAGACAAAAAAACTGTACATATGTGTGTGTGTGTGTATATATATATAAAAGAAAACACAAAAGGATGACAGAAAAATCATATTATATAACATCAATTATCACAATAAAGAAGAATAATTTAAAATCTTACATTAAAAAATAGAGACTATCTGACTGGGTTAAGAATAATCACACAAATATCCAGCTGTATGCTATCATAATAAGTTTATCAAAAAAGAGCAAATATAAAATACTCTTGAAACAGAGGTCCCCAAAAAGTTATTATAGGCAAATTGTAACAAAAGGAAAGCAAAAATGTTAATTTAAATATAAAACAAAATGGAATTTAAGGTAGAAAGGATTAATGGGACAGAGAGTAATATTTCATATTTTTCACCAATAAAACTGAATAAGAAAGTATAATGACTATGAGTTTCTGTGCATCAAACAAAAAGCACTGAAATAAACCAAACATGTTGAAATTAGAAGAAAAAATTGACCAGTACTGAGTTAGAAAAGAACCTCCTCTCAGAAATCTGTTGCAATAACTTCCACGTTTCACTCGGAAACCATTAACCTATTTGAATTCTTTTGCCAATTCCATTTAATTATCTTCATAGTAACTTTCTTCTGCTGCACTCTCCCTAAAAGCCTTATCACAACTCACATTTTTGTGCCTGTTTTTGGGTTCCTTCCAAGGTGCCATAGTCAAAAGAACTCTGTTAGTTTTGTGATTTCTGAGAGAAGCTGATAAGGTTATTTTGTTAAAGTGCTAATGGCTGGGAATTTAGATATAATTTCTCTGAGGGCAACACTCTTTTCTCTCACCATCTAATCCTTGCCTATGACTCTAGCAGCCTTGCTTTCCTGGGCACTTAGGGAAAGATGTAACTGGCTGTCTCATAATCCTTTCAGACCAAGACGTGCAGCTCGGCATCCTGGGTTTCGGACAGCCACTCACTGTTTACCTTCAAACAAGTCCTGTAATTTCTCCAGGTCTTGATTAACTTGTCTTTGAAATGAGGAAGCAGGGGTAGAATAAACAGTCATTAAAGTTCTTTTTTCCTCTAAAGGTTTATCTTATTACATTTTTATTCATATTTTATACCTATTTTTTAAAAATCCAGTTTCTGTGATATATGTTATGGAATGTGGAAATGTACTTTTCCTTTGACATTCGTCAGAACTTTGGAAGAAAAGAGTACCATTGAAAATGTTTGAGGGTGTGGCATTTGGTGCAAGCACTTAAGGTCCAGCTCTCACCCTGGAGTTCCTCTGCTTCATCTGGTCTCCTCTTTGTCTGTAGGTGCCAGCAATGCCCGTAGTCCCTGGTTGGTGCCGAACGAATGTCTCTCGAGTATGTGACTGGGATCTCTCCTTATAAACATGGCTTCTCCCTTATTTAGCTGCATTGCAGGCACTGAAGAGAAAGAAGAGGTTTGAGAAGCAGCTCACTCAGATTGATGGCACACTGTCCACAATCGAGTTCCAGAGAGAAGCCCTAGAGAACTCACACACCAATGCTGAGGTGCTGAGGAACATGGGCTTGGCGGCCAAGGCGATGAGAGCAGTTCATGAAAACATGTGAGTGACCTTCCTTCCCTCTGAGTCATAAGTGCCCTCTCAGTTGGAAGAGCTGTATGATGATTTCAGCAGGAATGGTCTTATCCTTTTGAGGCTCTTTGATATGTTAGAATGGAATGGTCCCTCAGAGAAAGATTAGAAGTGATAGTGGCAGAAAAATAAAACAAAAAAACATGCAAACATGAAGGCCATTCATTTTGCTCTTTAGATTTACCAGTAACCTCATAATTAATTTTCTGATACTCCATCTATAACTTTTCATTACATAATTTTAAAAAGGCTTAAACGTCAGTATCTGTGTGTGTATTAGACTATAGAAGAGTGGTTGCCCAACTTTGATGGAATTCAAAATTACCTGGCAAGCTACAAAGGAGAACGCAGATTCTGAACAAGGGCAAGGACTGGGCCTTTCTGTTTTTAACCAAGTTCCGCAGGTGATTCCTATACTAACCAATGCATGAGAACCATTAATGTAGAATAATAATAGTTATGGGCATGGATTTGTGGGTCAGATATTCTAGGTTATCATCTCAGTTCCACTGTTGACTGTCCTTAGGCAAATCACCTCACCTGTATTCAGAATCTTTGTCTATAAATTGGAGGTAATAAGAGTATTTCTGGTTATTGTGAGATTCAATAAGATCCAGATATAACATACTTAGTTCATGGTACAAAGTAAGCAACCAATAATCCATATTCATAGTGTTAGTGGAGCTGATGACAATTTGCTTTACGTTCACACTGGGAAGTCAGTGCCTGGGACCCGAAGTCAGAGGCACCATGCGTAAGACAGGGAGCACCTGAGCTGTGCAGAGGCGTTTCCTTGGGTGGGAGGGGGTGGGCCTGAGGGAGGCTCACTGAAGACCTCTCTGCTAACATTTTCTGCCTTGATAATTGGTTGACAATCCACCATCATTTTGACAGCTTTGGAAACATCATTACATTCACTCTCAGAGTCAAAATCCTCTGTCATTGTTATAAACTGGTGCTAACATGTACCACAAAATCACAGGTGGTTTATCAACATCATCTCGTGGTGCTCCTTTTGAGAAAAAGTCACCCGCAGACCCAAACTTTAACTTCGCCTTTCCTATACTCCTTTAAAAAATAAATTCCTTATATATTTGTTTTAAATATGAGAATTGGGGTGGTGAGAGAATGGTAAAAAGTGTTCTTTTTCATTACTATATGAAAATATGTCAAAGTACTCAGATTTTTCCACGTATAGAAACTTTCTATAAGACTTATTCAAAATTTCTGTGTTTAAGTTGCCTAATAAAGAGGAAACTTGTCACTTTTCTGGTATACAATCAGTTTAGCCTAGTTTCAGAGCTGGAGAGATGATTCAGAGACAGGATGATTCAGATCCAGTCATTCAGACCCTGGCAGCTGAGGCTAATGGTGAAGGGCCACTCAGGTGCTAGAAAATGCCTTTGGAGCAACTGTCCAGATTCCTGTGCTGACATTGCTGATTCTTCTGAGAGCTTCCTAGGCCTAATCCTGCCCTCACCTGTCATCTCCAAGGACAGTAGCAGACCTGGGATGGCCCTAAGGGAGTGAGGATCTTAGAGCAACTAGTCATTCTGGAAAATTGCCCTCTTGCTCCAGAACTCAGCTTCTATGAAAGGCTGCTGTCAGGTGGCAGCTGTGGAAAGCTGCCCTGGCTTATATCTTAGCCACCGTGGTCCTCAGGCATCCATAGCACCATTCCCTGCAGAGTGATACATAGTAGCATGTATTTATTTAAATTTTCCATATGCCCTGACAGACAGAATTTCAAAAGAAGCCTATAAATATTGTAAATTATAAGATAATTTGCTCTTTAGTGACTCCCAAATGTAGCATTTGTTTAATATTTAGTGGATAGTTGCCTGTACAGGATTATCCTTTTTCTAAAATGTAAATTACTTTTAAAGTTAATGAATATTATCATCAGGAATTTTTGTTATCCTATGGAAATAACTAAGAGTTTATATTAAATTGACTCATTCTTTCATATGGGAGTATATCTAAATTCATAATTTTAAAGTAAAATTCTAAAATATTTTAACAAAATATTTCCCAGGGATCTGAATAAAATAGATGATTTGATGCAAGAGGTCACAGAGCAACAGGATTTTGCCCAAGAAATCTCAGAAGCATTTTCTCAGCGGGTTGGATTTGGCGATGACTTTGATGAGGTGGGTAACGTGGTATGTAGAATGGAGTGTTACGGCTGCTAAAAAGGACAGCTTCCCATGTCAACAGCAGAGAAGGCTCCTCAGCATTTCCTCAAGTACCATAAAAAAGTAAATGACACTTGCTAGAAACATACTTAAGAGGGGAATGAAGTGTTGGTAGCTCTGATTTAAAGGAAAGATTAATATGGTTTGGCAAACAGCCTCCTAATTAAACTTCTAGCTATTCAGAAAAAGCAGTCTGTGATTATGTAAAGTTAGTGACTTTAAATGGTGGAAGCCTAAAGAACCCATTACCGGGAGGAATAACGTGCTTGAACATCTGTGCAAAACAAAACAGACTGACACTCTGCAAGGAACAGACTATCATGCTCCATGGTCGTTAAATTAGAGGTTAGGCTGTCTCCGTTCACTACTCAGGCTATAAAACAAAATAAATGTGGATGGGCATTATTAACACACACATTCCATTTGGTTTCATCAGTCCAATAAGACAGACTCTCTTTAGAATGGTATCTGGGCTGTGAATTTCAATTGTTCCATTCAAAGAACACACACTCATACAGATACTCAAAGCATACATACTCATAACATTTAGAAGTGTTTCAAGTTCTCAGGGTAGCATGGCGAAGACTCTGACTTCCTATACCTACCTGGTATTAAAAATAAAACTTCTAATGAGAAAGATATGGTTCCACAAAACCCTAGAAAATGAGAATTGGGTGTCAAGAACTTTAAAAAATGGTATAGCTCAGCATTCAGGCCACATCCTTCCCATGGCTTCTTTTTGTATGACCTGTCCAGGATGGTTTTTACAGACTTAAAGGAGTACAACACCACCAGTAACAATAGCATTAGAGAAGAATGTGACAGAGACCATATGTGGCCTATAAAACCTAAATTAGTACTGTATGGCTTTTTAGGGACAGTTTGCCCACCCTAGTTAGACTACCAGGCACCATAGGGCTCCAGGCTTATGGCATTTGGAGTCTGACATTCATTATTAAATTTTGTGTAAGTCCCTTTATTTCTCCGACCCTTCATTTTCTCATATATAAAATGAAAGTTACTGGCTCATTAGATTATCTCTAAAGTTTCTTAAATTCTAAAATCCTTTTCTCACTGAATAAATAAGTGGTTGGTACCTAGAGTCTGAAAATAAGGGAGGAGAGGATTATTCTGTCATCCTATTTGCTAAAGAAAATATCAATATCTTTTTGGTGCTGTTGATCACTACTGCACACTAAGTAATAATGGGTGCACACTCAGTGTAGCATAGTGTGTTCTGCTATTACTAAATTTGCTGCATTTGTTCCTGATTTTTTTGTGAGCAGAAATAAAACATCAGAGTATTCATTCTGCAGGCACTTCATTTAGATAGCCTGTGGACAACCGTAGAGCACACAAGTACATTGACCATACCATTTCATGTGCATTTCCATGATTTTTCCCCTTTTCATGAAGTAGATAGAACAGTGGTCAATCATTCAGTCTATCTTAGGATAAATATTTATTTATGTGCCTTTCTCCTACATTCAGTAATAAGCTCCTTTCAGGTAGGGACTGTTGGATGAACTTTGCTTCCCTGGGTTGAGTTCAGTACTTAGCCAGGAGTAAGCTCTCAATCAGTTTGTTTAATCATGAATGAATAGATGAAGACTTTCCTTAAATAAATATAAGAGTGTCTTAGGTAATTTGTAATGGGGACAACTTCAAAATTCTAATGATGACAGATTTAGTTTAGACTCTGGGCCTCTATTGGTGGTTGAACTCTACCTGAGGACACATGGTAGCCAGGTTGATCTGGACTACCACAAGTCATCACCTACCTGTCATAAGATGACTTACACTCTTAAAGTCTCCAACTAGTCTTGTGTCTCTGAGGTTCTTGGGATAGAGAGTAGCTTGGGGTTAAACCAGACCCTCTGAGATTGTTGCTATAAGACAGGAATACAGTGTACCTACCTTGGGTTGAACTTTACTTAACCCAAACACATATTGGCTTGGGTAATTGAACAAAGGAATCGTAGTATCTTTGATTCTTTTTACTTTCTGTACATTAAAAATTTTGCTATACCTGTCACTTATTTTTAATAACATTAACCCAAGTGAAAATATAACCTCCAGTTAAGGTTTCACAGCTTCTTAATTTGTAACAGTAGAGAAGAAAAGATGCATTGGAAAAAGGATGGGCAAGGTATAAATTTCCTGGAAACTGTGGAAGTTTTCTACTCAGCTAGCACAAATTATTTGAATAACTGTTTACTGAAGTATTTATAACATTAGCTATGACAAATTTGTACAACCCCAAATATTCATTTTTAATAATTGCTCAGTGTTGCAAAAAACCTAGTCTCAACATAAATATTCCATTTGACTGGGTTCCCACATATCAATTGGGTAGCAGATGTTCTTGTTATTGTGTTTGAGGAAACCTACTGCTTGAAACACTAACTCTATAATTCTTTCTTCTGTGATCAGGATGAGTTGATGGCAGAACTGGAAGAGTTGGAGCAGAAAGAATTAAATAAGAAGATGACAAGTATTCGACTCCCACATGTGCCTTCCTCTTCCCTCCCAGCACAGCCAGACAGAATGCCAGGTAGAATGAGGGGCACATTATCCAGTGCACAGAGGTCCCAAGCAGGTATGTCCCCACCTTCCCTACCTGTGGTCACATGGTTGCCTACAATAATAGCCTGATCCATATCTCTGTGAGCACTTTTTTAATTCCATAAATATGTAAGGGTGGACCCCCAAATTGGAATTTATTTATAAAAATTGTGTTTTTATTCTTACACGTTGAAACTTCAATCACCTTCAAAGTACTCTTCATTTGATGTGATATACCCAGTGAGACATTTTTCCAGTGCTCAAAACAGTTTTTGAAATTGTCAATTTTGATGCCTTTTAGTGTATCTGCCATTTTTTCATTTCACCTCTTTTATATTGGCAAAACATTTACCTTTGAGGACTTTTTTCATCTGGGAAAGCAAAAAAAGTCACTGGAGGTGAAATTGAGTGAATAAAGAGGGTGGGGCACAGGGGTCATGCTGTTTTTGGTCAAAAACTGCTGAACACTCATTGCAGTGTGGGCAGGTGTGCTTATAAATCACCCACCGTGAAATGGGCAAAAACATTAACAGAGTCTTAAAAAAATTAACTAAAGCTGAACACAACCTCTCACAAAATGCCAGCTGGTGGGGGGGGGGGGTCTGTCCCACAGATCTCCCCCGGCTGCTGTGGATGAGAATAAGTCTACCAAGACATGATCTGCTTGGGGAGGAAAGGCTGACCAGAGAGGAGAAAGGTCTTGAACCTCCCTTTCAATGGGCTTTCATTGAGTTTAGCTTGCAAAGGGATGCATATCAAAGAAAGGAGGTGTGGTTTACAGATAATATTTCTGGGGTGATGGGGGTCCTTTTGAGTCAGGGTCTGGTAGACAAGGTGATGCCAATTGGCTGTAAGACCTTGGGAAACAAACTTACTTTGTGCCTGGACCCTTAACATTTAAACTGAAGACATTTGTAGCAAAGTAGGTTTCACAGGACTTTATGCATTCTTTCTTAGGCCTGATTGCCCGCTACCAGGAACCACCATCGGGCTGTACCTCCCTGCGCATTGCTTCAGGCTTGAATCAGGCAGGGGAAGCAAGGCAGCCAAGAGATTAGGAGACTTTTAACAGATAGAATGAGGACTCAGACTATGATAAAGCTGAGGGGTGAGGGTCTTTGTCCCTCCTCCACAGTCCCCAAAGTCCTTCCCTGATGGTCCCTTCTTGACTATGCCTGTCTTAGGCTGTCTTAGCCTGTCTTAGACAGGTAAGATTCCTGTCATTGATTATCCAGCCATCCTCTAGGGGCCAAGCAGGGTGAAGTAAAGGGGGCAGAGGCTGCCCTTCTGCTGGGAGGATAAGTTTTGTCTCCTTAGTGACTTATGGTCCCAAGGTCCCCTAGCCGTGGGGCCTTTTCACCTGTTGGTGAATTTACAGCTCCTGAAACCGAGCAGGATGGTTCCCAACAAGCTGGCACACTGATACAGATGGGTTCCTAGAATACTCACGTAGTGGGGGAAGCCTGTACTACAAGGGGCCCACCCTTCAGAAGGTAATTCCATTTTTGGGGGGTCTCCCCTTATACACCTTTGTAGACATAATGCACACCTGTTTTTTATGTCACCAATTACTAATTTTTATACATTTTATGTTTCAGCCTCTTCTAGGAGGACAGAAGAACAGGAGGATGACATCAAACACTTGGCAGCTTGGGCTACTTAAATGAAAATGGAATTTTTTGATGCCTAAATTAATAACCTCTACATAGGACATAAAAAATATTTTTGCCAAGTTCAGAAGTTAACAGAGACCCTGTTTCACATTTACACTGAATGAGTAATTGTCTTTTAAGCTTTGTAAGTAAAAGTTAAAGAATAAAGAAAGGAGTCATGCCAGACAGAAGTAGGGATGGAAAGGAATTCCTGGTGGCATCTTGCAGGACCTCTCCACAAGGATGGAAGGGGCCCCTGTCTTTCTTACTACTGAATCCCAGTCCTGGAACATAGCTGGTGCTCTCTCTATGTTTGTTGACAAGAAATGGACATCTGTTCACCTATAAAACGTATAATCATTTATAAGCCATCTAAGAGAGATGTGTCTGTGATAGCTGGAAGAATAACTTCCTATTCTACGCAAGTGCAATTGGGCTGTGTTTCCATGTTAGTGGATATGGTACCCACAGTAGATGGAAATACACTATGTCTCTAGTAGGAGAGATGTCATGTGGGGCAGTCCTGTGCAAGTCTACACATAGTTTCACTTGAGTTTTGTCATTGGGAATCTTAAAGGATTTTAAATTGACATTTATTATGCCAATTAAGCTTGGAATGGGGCAGTGGATGCATTTCCCAGAATGTCTGAAAGCACTAGGAACTCACACTCATGCCTGAGTGTGATTCAGCTGCTTAGGAAGCTGTGTGACAGCCTGGGGCCATTATGATGCTGCTTCAGTGGCTGAATATGTAAATGTTCATGTTTTCTGCCCTATGCTCTCTTATTCATTTACACTTTGCAGCCTATTTCTTGTAAATACATTAAAATATAGGCCATTAAAAGTATATCTTGAATGACATTTTGGCCATAATTATTTTTAAATGAAAGTATATTACAAAGCTATGTATTGCCCAAAATATGTCATGAAGCATAAAACGACAATGTTATTACATAAAATGTAGTGTTCCCTACATTTGCTTAGCAACATAGTGAAATGGAGAGAACACTGGGTGTGGAGATAGGGTCCTGATTCCATCCCCTGCCTTGCCACTAACACAGAAAGGAGGAGGCACAAACTCCAAACCTTTTTGTCTTCATTGGGAGAGCTAAGGGCTGGACTTGATCTCTAATGGACCAATCTTGCCACAGGCCTTTTGCATATTGCTGTTCTTCTTAGTAGTCTTCTTACCCTCCACAACACGGGTACCAAATCTTATTTCCTAAGTCTTTTTTTTTTATGAGATAATCATCTTTTAATCTTATTTTCCTTTACTAGAAAGTTAGCATACCTTTATAATTCCTTATCTTTAGTTAAAGTGTTCATTATCTTGGGAAACTTTTCTAAATGACAGACAAAATTCGCTCTCCCTTGTTATATGAGTCCATAGCACTCTGCTTTCTCTCCTGTCATCTGTCATGGTTAGCATTGCATATTTACTTGAATTATTACTCAATTATCACTGCTTCTTCCTGCTGGTCTGTGGTGATTATGAGGGTGTGAGCTGTATCTCTTTCAGTTCAACAGGGTACCCCCGTCACCCTGCATCGTTCCTTGTACACAGTAGGCATTCAGGAAATATTTGATAAATGAATGGAGATTAAGTTTTTACATGTTTTGGGCCATCGCAGGACTTGATTGATCTTCTGTCTTCAAAACTGGACAAAATACATGAAACAACAGTTTCTAGACATCGGACAACAGCCCCAGAATGATTCCTGAGAGAGAAACCAATAAAGTGAGTCCTCACTGCCCCAGCTCACTTCCTTCACAGGGGAGGGAACTCAAAGAGAGACTGGTGTCTTAGGGGTAGAGGGGAAGAGAGAGAGAGAGAGAGAGAGCAACCGAGAACGAGAACGCTATGGAGATCAGATCAGCAGAAAGGTCCCTGCGGTGTGACTGAGTGCTGATCTGCTTACGTGTTACAAATTTACTCAGGCCCAGAAGAACCACCAGGGAGAAGTAGGCAGATCAATCCCAGAGCTCACACAGGGCTCAGGAATGGCCAGTGGGCTGTTTCCACTAGCCATTGTGAAAAGGCCTCCTGATACAGGGGGAATCAGACTGAGTCCTCAGAAGGGCATTGCCTCAGTAGAGAGGCCAAATTATGCCCCAACGAAAGGATGCCTGGGTCCACCCTGGAAAACTTAAAGGCAAACTTCAAAAGAATGAAATAATTCCAAGTCACCTAACTGCATCCTGGGTCAAAACCCCCTAATTCTTAAAGGAATATAAAAAAAACAAGTAACAACAACAGAACAATTAAAATAAAATTGTGGCCCTGACTGGTGTGGCTCATTTTGTTGGGCGTTGCTCCATGAAGCTAAAGATCACAGTTTCAATGCCAGGTCAGGGCATATGCCTGGGTTGTAGGTTCAGTCCCCAATCAGGGTGTAGGAGAGGCAACAGATCTATATTTCTTTCTGTATAAATAAATGAATCTTTAAAGTAAAATGAAATAAAACCCTGACATCCAAATCTTTGAATTTCAAAGATTTAGTATAAAAGGAACATAGAATGTCTCATGAACACTTGTATATTGATTTCATGTTGAAATATTATTTTAGATGTATTGGGTTAAATAAAGTGCTTTATTAAAATTTATTTCACCTTTTTCTTTTTACCCTTTTGAAATTTGGCTGCTTGTAAATTTAAAATTGTATATATGACTCATGTTATATGTCTGTTGCTCGGTCTTGGGCAAGAATATCAATCATTAAATTATTAATTAATGCACAGAAAATTTAAAGTACTAAAATGACAAATTGTTAAAAAGAAATTTTTCAAAAGGTAACATCTTATTGTGAAAAGAAAAATGCTTTGAAATGAAATCATAATATTGCATCTCTGTTGACAGTAAAGAGAATAAAACATGAGAGAGAAAAGCTGTAAAAAAGCAAATCAGCCTTATATTGAAGAAGGTATTAAAAAGGATAAGGGTATTAATCAGACGTCTAAAGATGTTTCCAGCAAGACCTCCTTATAATGGGAAGGCTTTTGTTTAAAGTTGTAAATTCTGGGATGTTTGCTAAAGATTGGTCTTAGTACATTACATGGTACCTTGGTGGGGGGTGGATAGTTTGGGTAATACTAAATATTTACTCTGTTGGGTTTTGTATTTTTTTAATTTTAATTGTTGTCCAAGTACAGTTTTCTGCCTTTTATTACCATCCCAACCCTCCCCATCTCCCTCCCAATTCTACCCCCACCTTGTTATTGTCCATGTGTCCTTTATATTTGTTCCTGCAAACTGTTTACCCTTTTCCCCTGAAATTCCCTCCCCTCTGGGCACTGTCAGCCTTTTCTCAATTTTAGTGTCTTTGGTTATATTTTGCTTGCTTGTTTGTTTTGTTGATTAAGTTCCTGTTAAAGGGGAGATCATATGCTATTTGTCTTTCACCACCTGGCTTATTTCACTCAGCATAATGCTCTCCAGTTCCATCCATGCTGTTGCAAAGGGTAGGAGCTCCTTCTTTCTTTCTGCTGCATAGAATTCCATTTTGTAAATGTACCATGTTTTTTTCATCCATTCATTTACTGAGGGGCACCTTGGTTGCTTCCAACTCTTGGCTATTGTGAATTGTGCTGCTAGGAACATTGGGGTGCATAGGTTGTTTGGATTGGTACCTCAGGATTCTTAGGGTATAATCCTAGCAGTGGAATTGCTGGGTTAAAAGGCAGATCCATTTTTAGTTTTTGAAGAAAATTCTATACTGTTTTTCATAATGGTTGTACCAGTCAGCAATCCCACCAACAGTGCACTAGGGTTCCCTTTTTTCTACAACCTCTCCAATGCTTGTTGTTTGTTGCTTTGTGTATGATGGCCATTCTGACCAATGTGAAGTAGTATCTCACTGTGGTTTTAATTTGCATCTCTCTGATAGCTAGTGATACTGAGCATGTTTTCATGTGTGTCCTCCTTGGAGAAGTATCTGTTCAAATCCTTTGCCCACCTTTTAATTGGGTTGCTTGTCTTCTTCAAGTGGAGTCATGTGAGTTCTTTATATATTTTGGAGATTAAATCTTTGTCTGAGGACTCATTGGCAAATATGTTTTCCCATACAATTGGTTCTCTTTATTTTAATACTGTCTTCTTTAGCCATGCAAAAGCTTTTTATTTTGATGAGATCCCATTTGTTTATTCTTTCCTTTATGTCCCTTGCTCTAGGGGACATATTAGTAAAAATGTTGCTGTGTAAAATATCTGAGATTTTCCTGCCTATCTTCTCCTTTAGGACTTAAATGGTGTCACAGCTTATATTTAAATCTTTTATCCACCTGGACTTTATTTTGGTGTATGGTGTGAGTTGGTGCTCAAATTTCATTTTTTTGCATGTAGCTGTCCAGTTCTCCCAGCAACATTTGTTGAAGAGGCTATTTTTACTCCATTTTATGTTGCTGCCCCCTTTGTCAAATATTAATTGATTGTAGAGACTTGGGTTGATTTCTGGGCTCTCTGTTCTGTTCCATTGGTCCATGTGCCTGTTTTTATGCCAGTACCAGGCTGTTTTGATCACAGTGGCCTTGTAATACAGTTTGATATCAGGTATTGTGATCCCTCCTACTTTGCCCTTTTTTCTCAAAATTGCAGCAGCTATTCAGGGTCATTTATAGTTCCATATAAATCTTTGAAGTGTTTGTTCTATTTCTGTAAAATATGCCATTGGTACTTTAGTAGGTATTGTATTGAATCTATAAATTGCTTTGGGTAGTATGGACATTTTGATGATGTTAATTCTTCCAACCAACGAACATGATATATGTTTCCATTTGTTTGTGTATTCCTACGTGAAGATTTTCTTCTTCAGTGTTGTGTAGTTTTCTGAGTACAGGTCTTTTACCTCCTTGATTAGGTTTATTCCTAGGTATTTTATTTTTCTTGTTATTACATCAAATTGGATTTTTTTCTTGATGTCTGCTTCTGCTGTTTCATTGTTAGTATACAAAAATGCCTTTGATTTTTGGATATTGACTTTGTGTCCCATTTTTTGGCCAAATTCATTTATTAGGTTGAGCAGTTTTTGGGTGGAGTGTTCAGGATGTTCTATGTACACTATCATGTCATCTGCAAAGAATGACAGTATTGTTTCCTCTTTCTGATTTGGATGCATTTTATTTCCTTTTCTTGTCTCATCACTGTGGCTAAAACTTCCAATACTATGTTGGATAGAAGTGGTTAAAATGGACACCCTTGTCTTGTTCCTGATCTTAGTGGAAAAGTTTTCAGTTTTTGCCCATTGAGTATGATGTTGGCTGTAGGTCTCTCATATATGGCCTTTATTATGTTGAGGAATGCTTCCTCTATTCCCACTTTGCTGATTGTTTTTATCATAAATGGGTGCTGTACCTTATCAAATGCTTTTTCTGCATCTATTGCTATGATCATGTGATTTTTGTTTTTGCTTTTGTTTATGTGATGTATTACATTTACTGATTTGTGAATATCGAACCATCCTTGCATCCCTGGGATGAATCCCATTTGGTCCTGGTGTATGATCTTTTTAATGTATTGTTGGATGTAGCTTGCCAATATTTTGTTGAGAATTTTAGCATCTATCTTCATACGTGATATTGGCCTGAGGTTTTCTTTCTTTGTTGTGTCTTTATCTGGTTTTGGGATTAGGATGATGCTGGCTTCATAAAAAAGGTTTGGGAGTCTTCCATCATCTTGGATTTTTTGAAATAATCTGTGAAGAACAGGGGTTAGCTCTCCCTTAAATGCTTTGTAGAATTCTCCTGTGAAACTATCCAATATGGGGCTTTTGTGTGCTGGGAGGTTTTCTTTTTAAGATTTTATTTATTTATCTTTGGAGGGGTAGGGAAGGAGAGAAGGAGAGAAATATCAATGTATGGTTGCCTCTTGTGGGTCCCCTGCTGGGAACTGGCCTGCAACCCAGGCATGTGCCCTGACTGGGAATTGAACCACAATTCTTTGGTTTGCAGGCCTGCACTCAATCCACTGAGCTACACCAGCCAGGGCAAAGGGAGTTTTTTGATTATTGCTTCAGTTTCATCTGCTGTTATTGGTCTGTTCAGGCTTTCTGTTTCTTCTTCATTGAGTTTTTGAAGATTATATTTTTCGAGAAATTTGTCCATTTCACCTAGGTTTTCAAATTTCTTGGCATACAGTTCTTCATAGTAGTTTCTTACAGTGCTTTGTATTTCTGAGGTGTCAGTTGTAATCTCTCCTCTTTCGTTTCTGATTGTGTTTATTTGGTTACTCTTTTTTTC